GACTGGGCAATCACCATTAATTTTTCTTTGTTTGCAGGTGCTCTATGTTTATCTTTGTTCCGAATTGCCCACAATCGATTAAATACGTCACATGATCATAAGAATACGAAATAATTATTACTATTGACTATAAGTGATACTTGTATTGTGCACGGAGAGCGAAATAATTCTCTCTAACGGCATGTCTCCACCCATAAACCTTTCTATATAGGTGTGTTTTCATAGCCTTTCGTCCATTGATGAGCTTACCCTTTGATTTAGTTTCGTCTAACTGATGTGGTAATATAACATCGTGTTTGGCTAGCCCACCTACACTATTTATCGAAACATCGTTTCAATCTACGCATTCGATATTTCTAATTGCTAGCTTAATATATTTAATATTATGTGATAAACCTATGCGACACAATTTTTCTAACTACTATTGTGAGTATAAAAGTATATAACCTAAAGAAAACAATTTTGTTAAAAATTAAAATTGATTAAACTCATTTTAAATACTATAAAAATGTTCTGTGAGATATTTTGTCTGAAATCTTTGTCCATAGTATCATATGTTCTGATATATTTTCTCCTAATATCTTTTGTCCGTATGATTATTTGTCCTTGAGGTCATTTGTCCTGTGATCATTTATCCTGAGAACATTTGTCCGTGAGATATTTTGTCCGGAATATTTTGTCCGGGATATTTTGTCCGGGATATTTTGACTGGGATATTTTGCCTGAGATTATTTATCATAAAACCATGTATATATATATATATATATATATATATATATATATATATATATATATATATATATATATATATATATATATATATATATATATATATATATATATATATATATATATATATATATATATATATATAGGGGCCCCTAAAAATTCTGCAATTGGGCCCTGTCTTCTTAGTTCGCCACTGGTTCCACCTATGTAACCATGAACTCTAGGATGTAAAATGTATTTGTCCGCTTTCTGGAGATTTTTAAAAATGTGTCATGAAACCTGATATCGTCTATTAAATACAATATGTAGTGCTCTGTTAGAAATGCTTTCAAAAAAGTTAAACCCTATTGTGGTCAAACAACCTAAGGTTAAAGGCCCAAAGGCCCTACGGTTAAAGCATCTAAAATCAAGATGTCAGCGCTTAGAGTTGGCTACTCGTGATTTTATTTGTGAACATTCCAAAACAATAATATCTTTTTTCTTCGAACAAAGATAAGTGCTCATCTGGAGTACATTTACACGATAATAATTACAACGAAAAAACGACCCGATCAGATAGTTATTTTTTGTAAGGGCTGAATAGTGAATTTACTTATCACTGTTGTTCTCTAGGCTTGTGAGTTAAAGAAAAAAGTTATAAGAGACCTATAGAAGTGTAATGTAAGTGGCGGTACTTGAACACAAGTGCGATGCATGCGTAGGTACATTGTTATATTTACTATGGAACTAATGAACATAAACGTATTATGGAACTTTTATAAATGTACTTATACGGTGTAAACAGCACGATATTTTAAATTTCCAGAGTGTAACAATACTTATGTGTGCATTACATTAAAAAATAGCACCTTTTGCAAAATTCCGTGTTTTTATTTTAAGTTAAAATAAGGGGCATTGAGTGTGGTAGAGTTCTCAATGATTTGAAAAACATATTTGTTTCAAAAATGTTAAGATGTAGTATTTAAACTCCTAAATTGAGTGCGTTTAATATAATTATGTTCAACATTCATAAACAGGCATGTTTACCATTTTGTTACTAATAAGTAAAATAAATAAAACTATTGGAATACAAATCAGTCTATTTAGTCATGTATTCAATTAGCAATTCGTGATTTCATCGACATAATTATATTTGTCTATTTCTCTGTTCAACATTTTATTAAGTTAAATGTATAGGCCTATTGCAAAGTTGATAGTAAAATTTTTTTAAAAAGCCTACATAAGATGTTGTAAAAAGGTTGAGCTGTGATTCCAACGTGATGTACATATACAGTATACAGTAATGTACAACCACAAGCCCCGAAGAATATCCTAATGCAATGTTAAAATTAATATAAGATGTAACTTATTTGATATTTTCCACATGCATGATACTGGTCTAGGTATTTAACAGCTGTCTACATGGTGTGTGTGAAAACAATGAAAATGTCGCCGAGAAACGGTAAAACACACTATCGTTCGCATGCATTTTTAGTTAAAACTTAAATTTTTAACAGCTTTGATTTGAAAGTAGTTATATTAAAAAATACTATAGTTAAGTTTGTGCTGTGTGTATTATTCAGCTTCTACCCTACTCTATATGTGTAAAACAAACATGGAATAGTGAGCGTATTTTTCCATATAGTAATGATAACGTTGACCTTAGACAGCTGGCATTATTGTAGTATCATAACACTCATGATAGGCCTTCTCTGGAGATCTGTCTGCCCTCGCCCACCTAGTCCCGATGGTCCTTGGCTTGAGGCGTTCATGCATGTCCTGCACGGGATGCATTGGGTCTTGATGATGGACCTTATTGACTCCACCTGGCATTGATGCTGTTGTCACAGTGCACGGTAGGGTTAAAATTATCTGTTTCACCTACTGAACAATATCTTGTAGAGAAGTTTGTCTTGTACGGCATGTTTTAACCCAACCTGTGTCTTGTAGATATGTTTGGTTTTGTACGGCCTGTCGTAGCCTACAATGTGCCACACCTAGTTTTAACACACATGCCGTCTCGAATGTGTGGCTACATGGTCTATGTAACACTACGTTAACACACATCTTTGGTCTACTTCCGTCCAATGCATGACAGGAGAGAAACACCTTTGGATCCTAGCCTACACCATCGCGGAACAGTTTTTGATCGACCGAATCTAATGTGTAATGCATTTTGTTTCTGACACTTTTTACCAAGATTTTCTAACATTGTATTAAATAATTCTAAAATAAAATGTAAAAAATTTCCAAATATTTATGCAAAATGCATTATAAATATAATACTCAAATTATTTTGTTTTGAGATGTTATGTATACAATACTTTTAATCTACATATTGTGTACTGACATTATTTGTAGATACACATTATAATATATTATATACAATATTATATGAATAATTGTGTTTTGTATAATGGTAGTGGGCCAAAAATTATTGACAGCATTTGGCCTAACCTAGATATTTTATATTTGTTTTCTTTTCCACAATCCTCTCCAATCAAGTATGCTTGAATACAGTGTTATTGGTAATACATTTTAAAGTATTAAGAGTGATATATAGAACATGTTGTAATCTATTAGAAAAATATATTCAATTTTTAACAGAAATTGTAATGAACACAATTATTTACATTTTTGACAGAAGTTTTGATGAACAAACATCTCAAGTTATATTGACGGTAATATGAAATCGGAGTTTCTTCCAGGCATCCCCGAAGAAAGTCTACCGCCCCCCTCCCCCCCGAATGAGATGGAATTTATATAGCAAACATATACTTTTACTAGTGTCCGACCCCCCCCCCTCGGAAAATGTTGACCGTTCCCCCCCGAAAATATCTTGTGCCCCCCCCCCCCCCCCCAGAGAAAAAAGTCTGGAAGAAACACTGTATGAAATGTAAAGTTAGTACATTGATTACATGCTACATGGAAGAGACAACTAGTCAGGTATTTAAGTTATGTGATCAGATATACATGTTAAAAATGTTGCTTTGCAAATTTCATTAAAACAATCAATCTACACCTACAGCATGACGTCATCACCTGTCTAATACAGTAGCTACAGTTAGTACTGTCTCCGAGAAAATTCCTCTTTCACAATGTTGCGTGTTGTACTTCTATAAACTAATGATAGTGAAGCTCCTCTCACTAGACAACACTGCGCCTGATTCTGCAATTGCTACTTTGAAATAAAGTTCCTGACCTTTCTTCATGTCAACAATCACTGACCCAGTATTGACATACACGTAATATCCGTTGTAATAACCGCGGAGATTGTAACCACTGTCTCCAGCCACTACATTAAACCATATCCAATATTTTGGATTTTCTTTTACTGTCACACAGACAAGATAACATCCGTCATGTGGTGATACAAATTTTCCTGTTGCTCGATTCAAGTGTTGGCCGTTATATTCACGTACTTCGGAAAACTTTAAGATTGGAGTCCCATCAGTCACAGGTTTGTAACATGCAGGCTTCATATGACACACGTATCTGTTGCTTGCAAGGGTCTCTGTGGAATAGGAAACATGTCTAACATTATTTTTATGTTTACACTGACACTATCAGAATAAAAATTTGATTTAAACTGGATGGTTAGTTTTAATTTCGATTTTTTTGAGAATAAATTTGTACAAACTATATGTATAAGGCTACAAAAAAATTTAATCTGTGTCTTTAGTCAAAGTGAATGTAACTTGGTATTTTATTTTTACTATATAATAGAAGATACTTAATTTAATAAACTATTTATAAATATTTTGTAAGGTTTTATACATCTCCGAGCCATTGCGATCATTACAAGTGTAGAACATCTGACGTCAATCATGACGTCACATAGAGGACGAGCTTTGGTTATTGCGTCATCACATACAGCCAAAAATTCACAACTATTAATTCCGATGTTTAGGTGTAGGTTATAAAGTTTAAAGCGGTTAAGTTTTGTTGTATTGTATGTCTAAGTAAAGCTACAATCTTTATTTTTAGAGTAGATTGAACAAAGTACAATTTCAAACAGATGATGTGAATGGCGTAAATTTAGTAATTACAAATTGCTTAAATGTTGTAATTTTGTATTTTATTAATTGCAAGCCTAATCTATTCAAACATGATACCACTAGAATATTTTTACCAACCCGTTATTTAATTAATTAACACTAGAACTATATATTTTTTAAAAACTACAACAAGATTTTAAAATTTTAGATACAAGATAACAAGCACAAAGTAAAAACTTTATTCACATATTACCTAAAGAAAACGTTTATTTCTCTGAACAAATAAATTCAGTAAAACTGTCTCAGTTGATAAAATAATTTTACCCGAGGTTTACATAAGAATTTTAATTATAGTAGTCGTACAAAAATGAGGTGAAACAGTACATATTTCACATTTTAAATCTTCACTTATTTGGCCTAAATTATGTTCGGACTTTAAAAGTCATGACACCCCCAACCCTTCCAATGAATTTATAAGACAAAAATCAGAAAGTATTGGGTTCTGAAAACAAAAAACATCAAAAATAAAATACCCAACTAGAAGATACCAAACTATGAAACTCACCAAAGGTCCTAAACTCTTTCGACATCGTTGAAGAAGCTGTTTCTTGGGCTTGAAGCTAAAAATCAGACTTGTTTTTTAAACAATGTATGGTATAAAAAAAATTATAATTAAATTAAAGCTCAAGAACTATGCTTAATTTTCTATCCTCACAATACAGTTTTTGAAACTACTATTATAAAACCATTTACATCTTAAGTCATTTTATATTTCACATTGCGAATTTAAAAGCTATGCCAATTATCATTTATATTTTATTAAACAAATTTTATTACATTAGGACATAAATAAAATACCTTGAAAGTTAAATTAGCTAACTCTTTTAAAGTATTGGTCATATTTTTTTTTCCTTCATCTTGTAAAGTAGAAATCAAATCCACATGTCTTTTTACTTCTTCTCCTGTATTTTAACGATAAACCCATACATATAAAATGTATTGAATGGTAGAATTGGAAGATGTTTTTTACAAGCTTTTATTTAACTCACTTCCTCTGTCTGTCGTCAGTCTGTCTAGACGGAAACGCAGGAGTGAAAATTCGGAAACTTCTACTTGACCGACTCGATTCACAGTTGGCACGTGGGTCAAGACATGAAGACAATGCAATCTAAAACTAAATTTGACTTAATTGGATGCCTAATTAATTTTTATGAATTAATTAAAATTTGGACCGAATTAGTAGGCATGTCTAGCCAACCACACCACACGCGTCATCACCTTCAATAGCTGCGCCATCACGTAATGGCTGCGTTCAAAAACCATTGCGCGCCTACTGAACGTGATGTTCAGTAGGCGCGCAATGGTTTTTAGTCATGTAACTCTATTGTAAATAAAACATGTAAAGTACTGAAAAAAAAATTCATAAAAAAACGTTTTAATAACAAGCTTTTATGTAATGATGCACTAAAAAGTAGAAAATAAATTATAGACTACTATTTAAATAACTATAAAGAAAAGCGTGGGTGTCTTCCTTAACATTAGTAAAGGTATCCAATAGATACTAAAGTGACCCACGCTTTTCTTTATAGTTATTTAAATAGTAGTCTATAATTTATTTTCTACTTTTTAGTGCATCATTACATAAAAGCTTGTTATTAAAACGTTTTTTATGGATTTTTTTTCAAAGTATTATTAAAATGGTGCACTGTAGGCCTATATCATTTTTAAAATTTAAGTATTATTTCATTTAAGTTGTGTGACAAAGTTAAACACTATTGCTCAAAGAAAGTAATTATATTAATGTTTGGGATGTAAAAAAAAACATATGTAGCCTATTGAACACCGCTGAACACACGTGACTAAAAAAGCTCACTATTTCTTAAAATATATTTTTAAGAGGGAACTATGTTTTCCTGAGTTGTAAGCCACAAACTAACATTCTCGGCTATGGAAAACAAAACCAATATTTTTGTCCTGAAGCACATTTTGATTCATTTTTCGGATTGTTTCATTTTATTTGTTTTAAAATTCTACTCATATGCTGCTACAAATATCGCCTGTCATTTGAAAAAAAAATAATATAAATCAAAACTTTATTAAAAATGAGAAATGATCTCGCGTGTTTAGGTAACAAATTATTTCTGAATTTTCTAGTAGAAGTAACAGAAATGGTAAAACCGTAAGCCTTGGAATATAGAATCAAGATTTTTAAATTTAAGGTACATTATGTGACAAAAAGCCCTACTTTAAATAATAAATCTTCTAAATGTCATAAAGTAAAAATGTTAATTTTTTTCGACATTTTAACTAGTTTCCTTTCACAATGAAAGTCTCGAATGAAGGCAAAAAATGGTGTGTGTCCAAAGCACAGACAAAAGGTTGGTTGCATACGAGTTTGCCACAAATTAACCAACGTACTTAAAATGTCAACTGACCACTGCAGAAAATGGGTAAGTTGTTGATGGTGTGTCGAATAAATGAGTTTAATAAGGGAAGCGACCGGGTCGAGTCACGTTGAGACTGTTGTGGAGTTGTGTATATTGAGGACGAATGAATGTATATAGGAAGAAAGCTGTTAACAGTTGTATTTGATTAAGAGTGAATGGGTGCTAAGTAGGCTAAACATAATTAGATGTTGTGATATGTATTACACTTGTATTAAGCTTGTTGGTCGGTAAAATTCTGTTGGGACCCTACTAAAAACATTCTATAAAAAATGTGAATTTCTTAATTTAAGTAATTTTTCGCACGCTTCGTATTTTACCCAATTTAAAAAAAAATAGGCCTATATATAAATAAATACTTTTTATTTAAAATTTTATTTTTTAATTTTTTGTAAACAGCATTCGTACCAAAAATCTCACAATCTTTTGACAGCTTAAGGACATCTGTTCCCAGTGCATTCATCTGAAAATATGCGCATTGTAACAAAAAAATAGTAAATATTAACACTAAAACTTCATAGTATATTTAGGTAAATGCAAACTACGCTGCCAAACTTTGTTTCAAATATATTTGAAATTTCTGCTGTAGATAATAAACTCTTCATAATTTTTCAGATACTTGTCAATTATCAACACTAGTCACCATATGACATTTTAATATTCTGTCATACTCGTGTTATAAAATTATTTATATTACTTTAGTTGTAAAATTTTCCACATTCTTATTTCCATCTGCTTGTAAAGTAGTAATCAAACCGGACTGATGTTTTACCTCTTGACCTGTATTAAAGTCAATAAAACATGTGATCGTATTTATGTAAAAAGATAAGCAATTAAAAACTTTTAATATAAAAATCGTATACTAGTGATTTCTTATTTTTCTTTGCAACTTTATAAAAGGCATGGTTTATTCCTTGAGTACTAATGAGCCATAGTATATTAAACAGTTCGGGACAGATATCTCATAAACATAGTTGTAATTTACTGATCACTAAACGCGACGTTATTGAAACATCAACTTTCTCATTAAAAATTGGATATGACAAAAAACTAACAATAACTGAATTAAATATATTGTTTTGTTTACATGTTAAATGATGACTAAATTATTCCTGGAAAAAGTAAAAGTCATAACACCGATAGATCATCCTGAAATGCATTATATATATATATATATATATATATATATATATATATATATATATATATATATATATATATATATATATATATATACCTATACTGACGCAAGTACAGTAATTGTCAAACTTTCTTTATTTACGTCTACGTTAGCATTTCATTGGGGAAGTGGTAATGTGATCGCACAACAACATTGCTGCTGTTTTAATTGATAATCATCTTATGGACAAATTGCTACAGAAGCCCGTTATAAAAGGCACTATCGGTGAATATAAGAAATCAAATATGTATATTTTATGATAAAAGAAAGTGCGTATAATGATTTTATTTTTATTTCGGTATGCCCTATGTTAATTATAAATTTATATTACAGATGATTTAACTCCTGTCTCTCACCGAACTTAGTTAATTCGCCTTTTTGAAAATAAAATTAACCACGATAACGGTAAAGTGAAATATGCGACATTTAAAAAAAACTTTGGACTGAAATTAGCTGACTGAGTACACAATAAATCCATGTTAATTTCCCCTGATAAGGGTCGGCGTGGTCGAGTCGGTAAAGGTCATGGCTGCTAAACCGAAAAGTCTCGAGTTCGAGCCACTCTTCTAGGAGACAAGTCCAAAATCAAACAACTGCTGCCTTGTAGTTTGTTCTCGGTTGGACAAAGGCTATGGAAGCAAATCCAAAAAGAAAAGCAGGCTGACATCGGAGTCAATGGCCTCAATGGCGCATAAGCAGTTGACACGTAACGCTTAATCGTGTTGGAGGCGTGGTCGAGTCGGCAAAGCTCAAGGTTGATAAATTCGAAAAAAAAAAGTCTCGAGTTCAAACCCTCTGGCAGATAAGGCTAGATCGCTTCCAACACTAAAAATTAAGAACGAAGAAGAAGATTCCCTGATCATTCTATCGAATAAAAAACCCATTAAAAACGCAGTAGTGGTAATTGATTCTTGGTAAACTGTTGGAGGAACTGAACCAAGCTAATTGACAAATTGAAAATGATCTGCACGTACTTAACAAATATATATTGTTTGTTATCAAAACTTTTTATTGAAAATAAAATATCTACACTTACTTATTGTTTTCACTTCGTTTGACCTAGTGATCAAATCATTTTCTAACGTTGCAAGCTGAATAAAGAAAAAAGAAAGGGTAAAAAGACGGGTTCACCAAAAGTAGAAAGACGAATAAAGATATAATTATGTTTTTTCCAAGTTCTAGTTACAAGTTTGTATCAATGACTATTAGTTATTTATACAAGTAAAATGCATATCAGTATTTACGCAAATATATATATATATATATATATATATATATATATATATATATATATATATATATATATATATATATATAATTTGTGCATGTAATAATTTAAAAATGTATTTGTTGTTAAAATACAGAGAAAAGGTTAATTCTTTTTTCCATATATCATACCATTGTCTTTAAATGTTCAATCTTTTTTACGATGTTAGCCATGTTATCTTTTCCATCGTTTTGTAAAACACAAATCAATTCAGAATGACTGGCTACAATTCTTGCAAAATTATCTGACTCATCTTTGTTGACTTTAAACTTGTTCTCCATTTCATTCACGTTGCTTTTGACTGTTTCTATATCAAGATTAACTTGTTCTAGACTTCTACAAGTCTTTGCATTATTTTCCATTAAAATCTCAATTTGTTGACTCATCTCACCTATTTTATTTTCATCTTCTGTGCACTGCTGTTTTAGGTTTAAATAATTTTCTTTTTGTTCATCGGATAGCTGTTTCATTTTGATCAGTATATCACTTTGTTCAGATATGCATCTGTCTCTCCAGTCGTTAATTTCTGGTAAGCAAATGCTTTCTTTATTTTGTAGCTCGTGAATTATATCATTCTGTAAATTCATCTTCTGTTGGAGGTTTTTAAATTTCTTTTTTGTTTTTTTCGTCACTTGAAGTATTTGCTTATCCATGTCACATTTTTCTGTTACAGACTGTTCTTTCATTTTTTCTGTCGCTTTTTGTAGAGTAGAAATCATGTCCTCAATATATTTAATTCTATTTTCTAAAATGTTTTCTTTCCACTGTTTCATCTCCGAAAGGTCATCCTCGGTCTTTTGTTTTGTATCTTTGACTGAATTTAACTCTGTTTCAACATGCTCCATTCTCTTTTCTAAACTTGTGTTTTCCTTTTTATTTATTTCTGAGATTTCATTTTCGTTTCCTTGATGGTCGTTTTCAACTAAAGTCCAAGTTGTGTCCGTCAGATTTAATTTCTTTGGTAAACTGCGACCACAGTCAACTTTTATTTTGAAAAAAAATATTGCTCAGATAGAGATGAGGAATGCATATATATATATATATATATATATATATATATATATATATATATATATATATATATATATATATATATATATATATATATATATATATATATATATACATATATATATATATTTTATTGCATTTAAACGATGGTTGCTATATATGATTTTTATATTTTTTTTTAAATGTAAAGTATATGTATATTTTATAAATCAATTGTTACGTTTTAATGTGCTGTGTAGATAATATAAGCAAACGTAATAAAATACATATGTTTGTTGCCATTAATATGTATGGAATCAAATAAAGCAAATGTTTTTGTTCTGTCTTACTTCCTTCATGTGTTCCTTGTCTTTTCTTTAGCTCATCAAGTTTCCTTTTTACATCTGTGAGTTGCTCCATACATGATTATATTTTATTAAAAAAGCAACAGTAAAATGATTAGACTATGAATAAATTATTGTACACCTTTATATTTAGAACATAATACAAATGTTTTTAGCGTATTTACTTTTAGAAAGTGTTTTTTTTTTTTCAAGAATTACATTTCCACATTTTAATATAAAATTACCTGAAATAGTTTTTTTATGATCCAGCAGTGCAGAATTTGTTTTCCTCACCAGAGCAACCACTTCTTTTATTTCGTCTATGTTTCCTTGAGAAATTTTTTTTATACATTCCTCTGTTTTCAAATTGACCTTAGCAGAAGAGTTTGGAGCACAATTATACGGAATTTGTAAAATTTAGTTTTTAATTAAAAAAATACAACCGTGCTAAATTATTTTATAATTAATTAATAGTCGTATTACAATTATTAATAATCATGTTATTTGTGAGCAACTATTTTGTTTAAACAAGGAATAGCAAATATTGTTAACTCTGATGACCAAATTAACTATTTTGTGTGATATTATAATACACGCTCGTCTTCCCAGTGAATAGATAAGCTACCAGTAGCGTAGCGAGGGGGGGGAGGACATATGTTCCGGGGGCCGACCTTAGGGGGCGCCAAAATGGTTTGGAAAAATAAATTGAAGGTTGAGGGGGGTGCAAATCGAAAGTTTGAGGGGGGTGCAAATCGAAATCTTGAGCGGGGTGGGGTGCAAATCGAAAAGTTTATCCCCGGGCGCCGGGAAGGGTCGCTACAACTCTGAGCTACCTCAACTAATATTATACGTACTAGGATTTTTTAAAAGCAAACCTGTTGATATAGTTTCATTATTTTTCTTTCTAGCTCTTTATTTATGTCCACTAAATGTTCCAAGAGTTTATTTAGGTCTTTTTTAGCCTCAGCCATCTACACAAGTAAAATAAATATTCTTTATTATTTATGTGGATGATAGATTATGGAAAGCGATTCCTATTTTTAAAAATAGATTGTAAATATAAACGATTATTTTATAGTATATCATTTTATCACTTTGCGCAATTTCCAATCACTTTAGGTGCTGCGTATATCTCATTAAATTAGCGATTAAATTTGTAATTACCGTATAGTTAGAAGGAACCTACCGTTTGATTTTGCTGACCACAACTTGCAATTAAGTTCAAATTTCGTCTAGTGTCGTTCTAACGTTTTTACGAGAAAGTATTATTCTGTCTGTAAAGTATGCTTAATATTTTTATTGTTTTGTAAAATGTGTATACTATTTATCTTGATAATTGAAGTTGTTCAGTTTGAAACTTTAAAAATTATGGTTACATAAAATGTTTGTCGTGATATGTTGTACAAATGTAAAAAAAAATAAAATAATATAACTTTTAGAGTTTGACAAATACACTGTAAATAATTATCAAAACGAAAATAAATTTAAAAATTATTTAATAATGTACTCACAACAAAATCCTCATGTGTATATACTGCTTATACTTCAGCAGGGTTGAACCAACTAATAACACACAGCTAAATGTTGCAAACGAATGATCTAAAAAGCGCTATTGGCACGTATTCAAAGACCCTTGTCGATATTAAAAGTTATCGATTTCTTTAATGTATGGTATTACAGCGTAAGTTGGTCTGTATGAAATGTATTCTTTGTTGTTAAGACATGTTGACAAAGAACGCCTGAGACGTTGCCTGTAAAAACTAAGTAGGTCACTATTCCAGGCAATCCAAACAGCGCAGCGTAGCAAGTTATGTATTTAGCTTAGCACTTGTTTTAACTAGTTAATACCGTAGTTAATACTTAACTAAAATCAAAACATGTTGATATAATGTGTGACGCTGCATCTAACATTGCAGTGATAGTTGTTTCAAGTTACTTACAAGGCCATATAAGAGACTTCTTATACTTTTTAATCTTGTATCCAAGAGTAATATTTTTCTACAGCCTGACGACGAAGTTACATGGACTTCTGGTCACATTCTTTCTGTACGTCTTATAGCACATAAAATTGTTTTGTTTGCTTGGGTTAAGGAACATGTAAGACAAAACATGTCGCGAATACAAATCGGCATAACTCGAATGAAAAGTTCCATAACACGTAACTGCTCTTAAAAAAATGTATCGTGTACGCATCTTAGTACAAAGAGGCATCAGTTTTTAAAAGAAAAAATCACATTTTTTTCGACCCAAGAACTACAAGACATCTGGTCGTAAAACATATAATTACTAACGCTTAAATGCCCGAGCTTAGAATCATGAGCTTATTAAGCTCGTTAGAGACAGCAACCATTCTAGGAACGATAACTCCCAAATTAAACAACTGCTGTCTTGTAGTTTGTTTTTTGGGTTGAAAAAGGATTGGATGTAAATCCAGGAAAACAAGAAAGGGCTACTGTGCCAGACGTGTATCTGTTGTGTTAAAGTGTTTTACAATTAGTAAACTAATTTACAACATCTATAGTGTACACAAAGTGTGTATTCACACATGTTATGTTATTGATTTACTCTTTTAGTTCCTATAAATCCGATCTAAATGCGAGCTTAGTCTATGTGTTTATATGTGCGAAGCGTTTTCGACGTCTCAATTTCACTAATATGTGATATGATTGTTTTGTATAATCGCATTAAACATGATGTTTTAACTCATATCGATAAAAATTATACACAGGTTTAGAATATAGTAAATGTCACACTACCCGAGATCACAAAAAAACTTTATTTGCCTTATGGGACGGCAAGTTCAGGTAAAAAAAATGGAACTTTAATATCTACTTACTTTTGTTATAAGAAACTATCTGAAAAAGTAGCTCTTCTTTTTTTTCTAAACTGTTTAATCCTTGGGTTATAATGGCATCTAAACTACAATAATATTAGATAATGGAACAATTACATTACTAGTAAAATAAGAATCACATTTTATAACAACTGAAGTTGTGCCAAAAATATAAAAATGTGTTGTTATTCATCAGACGTGGATATTGGTGAGAATACATCAGATGCTAATAAAAAAAAGACTTGTGGCAATAAAAGGTTAATATAGATTTCTAGTTTCTTAAAATAATCAAATACCATCTGTTTAGAAGCGATAACTGCACGTGCTAGAAACTATCTTGGACACACCTTTACCCAGTGTAGGGGTTAGCGTGCAGGTGAGCTGAGCAAGGGCAGTGGTCAAGGTAAGAAAGACCTGCGAATGGTCTTTTAAAACGTAGGATGATTCACGTTGTCGACATAGCCCGAATGAACAGTCTGTCATCAGAGTTTCTTCTAGGCATCTCTTTGGGGGGGGGGGGAGAGTCGCCCCCCCCCCCCTTCCCTAAGAAAGGCTACCGCCCCCCGAAAGAGATGGAATTTATATAGAAAATACATACTTTTAACAGTGTTCGCCTCTGGAAATTTTAGTCCACCCCCCAAAATAAAATGTCAAGCGCCCCCCCCCCCCCCCCCCCCCCGGAGAAAACGGTTTGCAAGCAACACCGACTGTCATAGAACTCCAGCTGACCGGGGAGGGAGGGGAAGAGGTGGTGCACAGTTTGAAGTGGAGCTGTCATAAACAATATGGCGGTACAATAACATAAGTATCAGAACAAAATGTTTTTGAAGGTTTAATAATACCGGTCTAGATGTAAAAAATACGATCGAAAAATAAGCCGATCGCTGTTATTATAGAAACACCATCAAAACAGTAGCAGTGCCGGCGCCAGGTTATTCAGCGCCCTAGGCAAAACTGTGTTTAACACCCCCCCCCCCCCCCCAATCACATAATCATATGAATCATCATGTTTTAAATTAAAATAATTACATTAATAAATACAATAATTATATTATTTTATTAACAGAGGCGTGGCTAGGGGAGGGCGGATGGAGCGGCCGCCACAGGCGCGACCCACAGGGGCGCTAATATTACATAGATAGATAGGTAGATAAAAATGTAAAAAGCTAATTATATACAGTTGAAATTAAGAACGTTGACTGCCACCTGGCATTACGGTCTTAATTGTTTTCTACATCAATAATGTAACATCAAAATAAAAAAGCAAAGTTCGCCTCATGGTTAGCACAAGATTTACACAAGATAAGAACTCAGTTTTACAGTCTGACAATAGAGAAGCCACTGGCTGCGTGTAGCATGGCTTCATCATCAGCTCCAGTCACTTTAAAATATAGCTCTTCCCCTTTCTTCATTGCAACAATGGTTGATCCAGAAGCCGAAGTAAAAGCTGATTTTACAAAAAAATCTTTTTGTAATATTTCTCCACTGAAGAAGCTCACTGCAATCCGTTTATCTTCTTTCTCCTTTAACGTAACAATAACTAAATAAAAACCGTCATCTGGTGCTACAAGTTTTCCTGTTGATCTATTGAAATGGCTGCCGTTATGTTCCTTAACGCCATAGAACGTAGAAATAATTTCTCCAGTGGTGACTGGTGTGTTGTTGTGTAGGTGGATTTGACAGAAGTAAGGCTTGCATACTCGATTCCCTATTAAAATTATGTATAAATGAGTAATGCATTATAAAACATCATGCATAATGTTTGAATGATATTATAAATATTCAAGCTGTGATTAGATTTGGTAGTATTCTAGACGACCCAGTTTCCCATTGAAAACAATTCCTTAGCTGCACTAACAACATAAACCAATCAAACGCTTAGATCACCACACCTAGGTGTCTGGCGGTACCGAAAAAAACTTATCCAAAATACTTTGCCCAAATGGGTAAAATACCTACATTAGTAAAACTAGCTGTTCTACATTGTCAAATGTTTGTTAATATATCTTATTTATCTTAAAATACATATTTTATTGAAGCATACTTAAAAGAATTAACTTGCAGGAATGGTTATTTTGATGTTTTTGGTAACTTTTAATAAATCACTGGAAACAATGACGTTTACCAATACTATCCCGTATGTCAGATCATCGCTTTGCTAATTTTAGTCAGTAAGACACGTTTTAGTACTGGATCTTTTATTTCCTTATCACGATTTCTCCTTAGACAACACGATGTACAAAGTGTAGCCCAGCACAAAGGCATTGGGGGAGTTATCAAGCATTCATTATAAAAATATTAAATTGACAAACCTAGGATAGTTTTGGAAAATTGCCAACAACAGCTATAAACATTAACAATAACCCTAAGCCTGACCGTGACCTTAACCCTGACCTTGGACTGACCCTGGTCTGACGCTGACCATGACCTTGACCCTAACTCTTACTCTAAGCCTAAATCAATTACAACCGCTATACATATCCCTAACTATCCATAACCATATAGGCCTACGAGGGTGGAATAATATATGTGGGTAATAATTTGATGTCTCGTATAAAACAAAATAGCAACCAGCGAGGTGGTTTGGGGGGGGGGGGGGGCGGGGGTGAGACTGTTGATTGACACAGGGGATATAACCAACGCCCCGAAGCAGATAATTGACTTTAAATTATTGTATTTGCTTTAGAGTTATTTACATTTTAATAAAATAAATATACGTACTGACTCCTCGCACGCCATTTGATTTAATCTCTAAAGATGCAAGCTATAATTAAAAAAAAGTATTTGTTAATTGGACTGCATTTCAAAAAGTAGAAACACACAATAAGAAAAAAAAAATAAGTGCCAAATTTTTAGACTCTCGCTAATAGTATTGGCACCATTTGCTAAAATCTAATATATATATATATATATATATATATATATATATATATATATATATATATATATATATATATATATATATATATATATATATACATATATATATGTTAAAAATACAACGAAGTCAATTTTATAATACCTTACCAATGTCTTTAGTTTATGAAGTTCTTGTGTGCAGTTAGCAAAGTTTTTCTTTTCTTCTTTTTGTAAAACAGAAATCTCCTTAGATTGGCTGGCAACTATTTGTGCGAATTTATCAATTTGATCTGAGTGGTCTTTTAATTTTTTATTCACGTCATTTATGAAATGATCAACTGATTTTGTCACTTGATTATTTTTTTCTAAACTGCTGTGTATTTGCGAATCTTGTTTTCTGGAGTTCTCCATCAGTTGATTGTATTCTCGCATGCCTTTCATTGTTTTGATGTTATTTTCTTGTTTTTTATTGAGCAGTTGATTTATTTTTATCACCATATCACTTTGTTCAGGTATACATTTGTCTCTCCATTGTTTTATTTCTATTAATTCTTTATCTCTCGACCGCATTGAATCCAGTAACAACGCCTGTGTTTCTTCAAGATATTTTATTCTCTCTTCAAAATTGTTGTTTTCCCGTTTCTTTCTCTCGGATATTTCATTTTGATTAGCATTATTTACAATTTCAGGTGAAAAAATGGTGTCAAAAATACGTTGTTTTGACTTTTCTAAAAGGTTTTCTCTCCACTGCTTCGCTAACGGTAAACAATCTTCAGTTTTTTGTATTGATGTAAACGGTATTGCATTATGCTCTATTCCCTTTTTCAAACTGCTGTTTTTTAATTTATTTATTTCTGATGTATCTTTTTCATTTTCTTGTGTTTTGTCTTTTGCTGAAATACACCGACATTTTTAATTTCATTTTGTCCTGAGACAAAAATTATTTTATGAAAACTAAAATCAATGTTGACAAAAAAAAAACGTATTAAAAATGTTTGTTAAAAGGACATTAACTTACGCATACACATATATATATATACCATATTGAAAAAAACAATTAACTAAGTACTATAGTTTTGTTGTTGTGTAAATGCAATTCGTAAATTTAAGCGAAATGTAATTTTAACAATAGTGTTAGAGGTGTAATCAATTAGAAGTCAACTCCCACGTTAGTCTTACCTTCTTCATTTGTTGCTTGAAATTTCTTTAGTTTAGTGAGTTTCCTATTTACATCTGTTATTAAAGAAATATTTTGTATTTTATAAGACCAATGCATCAATTATAAGCAGTGTTAACAAGAAGATGCTATAAGTACCCTACATAGCACAATCAGTAAAATGCTTTGTATTAATTAGGGGATTTAGGAATATTCTTAATTAAAGTCTTTTTTTTATTTAATAAAAAAATGAGAAACAATATTTCATGTAGTCAGTACATTATCATACAGATGTTTTGTAAGAAAACAAACAACGTAAAAACAAATATTTACTATGATGTTTGTAAAATTCCACATTTAAATTTGAAATTACCACTAATTTTGTTTTTATGATCCAGCAGTGCAGAATTTGTTGTTCTCACTAGAGCAACCACTTCTTTTATTTCCTCTATATCTCCTTTAAACTGGGATTCAATACATTCGATTGTTGTCAAATTGACCTGATCAAAAGTGTTTAGAAGAACAAATTAAATGAGATCATTTTTATACAAACCATTTTTATTGGTAAATTAATCACTTTATAATTTTCTTTAAATAAATTTTAATTATTAAAATTTAATACATAAAACACACACGTTATGTGCTACATGGAATTAAATTGCTGAAACAAAAGTAGAGATTTTAAAACATTAATTTTAGCTAAATAAAAAGTGTATACAAAAAGTAGATATTGTTGACTCGAATATTTAATTAACACCATTTTAATCTTATAAATCACCGTGATTTTCATTAAAAAAGGAAACATTCGTAGATTAAAATTATAACGTATGTGGATTTTTTTTTTAAAGTTCATAAAAATAATTACTTGTTCATTTAATTTCCAAATCTGTTTTTCCAACTGCACATTTATCCCAAATAAATGCTCCAGCAGTTTAGTCAATTCTTTCTGTTTAGGTTTACCTTCTGCCATCTGCACTAAAGATATTATTTAACATGTGATAAAATGTGAATATTCTACAAGTTAACTAATAAGATAATTTTCTTTGTGATTTTTAACGTCAAACGGCTTTAGGAACTTGTGAATTGTGTATATGTGTATTTGTGTGTGTGGGGGGGGGGGGGAAGGGGGGGGGGGGTTAGGATGGTAGAGGTGTAAGAATGATGGCTAGGATGTTGTGGTACAACCAAGATTTACTCAACAAACACATAAGCTATGTATTAATTACATAACTCTATTAATTTGTCTATAACACTTTAATGTTGCATTGTTTTGACACAAAACATATAATGCATAGACGACATGTTATGGGATTTGAAGATGTTCAAGTGTGAGAAGTGGAATATTTTGTGTGAGTGGGCAGGTGAGTGGTGGAGGCGTTAGGTGAGTGTTTTGGTTAAGCATGATTGAAATCGTAAGCATCAATATTTTACTGATAATCAAAAATATAACAGTTATTTAAGAATGGAAGTATCCTGATAGAGAGAGAGAGAGAGAGAGAGAGAGAGAGAGAGAGAGAGAGAGAGAGATAGAAAGAGTGATTGTGTATCTGTGTGTGTGTGTTTGGGTGTGTGTGTATGTGCATGTAAACATTAGGGTAGGAAAGATATACTAGACGGCGGGCAGTCTCTTTTTATTGTAGCCTTCATAACGGGAACGTCTAATATTGGCGTCTAATATGATATAACCTTACATTGAAATCCAAATTTTCCTACTTTATGAGACGCCTGGACAAATCATGACCCTAAAATGTGGAGCAGTCTTTGACTTTTAAGTCAACTAACTCCCCTAAATTGTAACTAACAATTATTTTGTAGACAATAATATGGAAAATGAAATATAACAAGCGGGATATAATTCCCAATTTGAAACCAAAAAAAAACACCAATAAAACAATTTAATCAGCGCCTCCTATCGTCTTTGTTATATGTGAACTATTCATTACCGGTGTATGTTTTATATAATAAACTCTCTTTACAACTAAAAATAATTCATACTTTTTTATGATTATATTGTGTAGTTATTCAGATTTTGAAAAGCTTGAGTAATTGATAATTTGCCAAATATAATGTATTGTTTTTACTAAGAATAAGTAAAAGATTGCATACAATAAAACAAATAAAAAAAAACTGCACCTTAATTGCTTTTTTCTCGTTCACTACTAGAGCACAGACGAACCTTCAAATACCAATGCACACACATTTTGCCAATCTAAGTTCCTAATAATAAGAACTGGCTCGTATTCCAACTAGTTGGTCGATATTCAACTTATTCAAGAAATTATTGATTTTGTAAAGGGTAATACTGAAATACACCAACATGAAAAGTTTACCTGTACAGCCAAATCAGCGTTCCTAACATGAATAACATTCACAGCTAAAAATAAACTGGACTGTGTAGATTGTTTGGCTGTTTATACTAGACAGATTATACTGTGCTTTTTATATTAGACGGGTTAGACAGGGCTGTTGAGCTAATACTCTGGGATGTTTAGAATATACAGGTTTGCCTTAGTTATTTAGAATATAGGCCTACATGTTAAGCCGGAACGTTTAGATTATTCAGGTTAAGCTGGGCTATTTAGCTGTTACTCTGGGCTGTTAAGATTGTACTTGTTAGGCTTGTATAATTAGGCTTGGCCTTTTGGATTATACATGTAGTATTTTCAATGTTAGCCTGTATCAACACAATAAACTTTCAAAAAGACGAACTCGCTAAAACGGCTGTCGCCCGGTGCGGCTCTTCGTGATGTCTACCCCCCCCCCACCCCCAAGAAAAAAGTATATAAGTATATATATATATATATATATATATATATATATATATATATATATATATATATATATATATATATATATATATATATATATATATATATATATATATATATATATATATATATGTGTGTGTTTGTGTGTATGTGTGCAGGTGTGTGTGTGTATATTGGCCTACAAGGGCTATAATTTAAATTTATGCCACATACGGGTACATGTATGTGTATAATCTTTATTCTCTGCAGATTTAATAATAACGATGTTTCTCTATAGTCTGCTAATAATATAATCTTTATAGTTAGCACTTTTGAGCCGTGGTGTCTATCCCTATCCTCTTGTAATAATTGTCGATTTGTACTTAAATGACTATTTAACGTTAATTAGTCTTTACATGATGTGGCAAAAATCCTTTTTACTTTCTCGTATATACGAAGTATAGAGAAAGTATTGTAATCGTGCACAAAAATAACATGAAATTTTGACAGTTTTCACCGCTTTACTCCTCAGTCCTTCATCACATCCGGAGTATAGAGGACTTATTTTAATCAGGCAAAAATTATAAATACAAATATACAAACGTTTTGGCGTTTTATGCGTTATCGAGTCGTAAAAACTGGACTTTGCAATTCAGTCCGTATGTCTGTGTGTCTGTCTGTGTGTCTGTGTGTAAACACGATAACTTGAGTACCGTTACAGCTAGGTTGATGAAATTTCATATATAAGTGTTTTATCAAAATCGTAGATCCTGAACAACTTTTGAGCGATTTCCGATAACCGGAAGTGGTACTTTTTCTACTTTGAATTTTTCAAAAGCCTATAACTTGAATATTATTTCAGATAGATAAATGAAATTTCACATGTAAGTAAAAGGTCTAATTCTCTATCTTTTGTCAAATTTTGAGTAATTTACCTTGACAAAAAGTACTAATTTACGCTATTTTTGATTTCTCATAAAACGCATGTAAATTTATAAAGTACTGACAATATTGCGCACTAATATGCACATTTTGTTTTGGCGTTCGCTTGGTGCGCAATTCTTTTTTTTTCTTCTAGATTTTATTCTATTTTTTACAAGTTTAAGTAAACAAAAATCATGTCTATATTCCGAGTTGCCATCCCACGTCGTGTTATATTAGAATATTCGAGAAAGTTTAGGAGAGATCACTCCCGGTTTATTTTTCCTAGTTCCACCACTGCTCTTCAACCTTTTCTTAGGATGAATAATGTTGCGGAATGTGATAGAAAAATTCTTCAATTTTTACTTTCTCGTATATACAAATAATAGAGAAAGTCTTGTAACCTGCTAAAAAAAATCGAGATTTTTGCAGATCTCGACGTTTTACACCTTCCTGAGTCGGAAAAACATAGTTTTGCAATCTTGTCCGTATGTCTGTGTGTATGTATGTGTGTATGTCTTTGTGTGTGTTTGTGTGTGTGTGTGTGTGTGTGTAAACACTATAACTTGAGTACCGTTACAGGTAGGCTGATGAAATTTCATATATAAGTATAACATGAAAATCAAAAATCAGTTTCTATTTTCGGGCGATTTCCGATAACCGGATGTGGAATTTTTTCTACTTTAAATTTTTCAAAAGCCTAAAAATTTAGTAGGCCTACTATTTTCAGATAGATAAATGAAATATGACATGTAAGTAAAAGATCTAGTTCTCTGCCTTCTATCAAATTTTCAGTAGTTTTTGTTGACAGGAAGTAGTAATTTACGCTATTTCCGATTTTAAAAAAAAAACGCAAATTTTATTTGGCGTTCTTTTGGTGTGCAATTTTTTCTACAAGATTTTATTCTATTTTATAAACTTTAAGTATTTAAAATGGATTAAAAATTATGTCTATATCCCGAGTTGCCATCCCCTGTTGTTTCATAGAAAAATATTCAAGAAAGTTTAGGGGAGATCACTCCCGGTTTATTTTTAAGGGTTTACAAAACAGAATAATGGAATATCAATTTTTACATAAAATAAAACTGATATACTTATGAGTGGACAGAGAAATTATATGCTTTTTACAAGCTTTTATTTAACTCACTTCCTCTGTCTGTCTTGACGGAAACGCAGGAGTGAAAATTCGGACAGTTCTACTTGACCGATACGATTCACAGTTGGCACGTGGGTCAAGACATGAAGACAATGCAATCTGAAACTAAATTTGACTTAATTGGATGCCTAATTTATTTTTTTATGAAATAATAAAAATTTGGACTGAATTAGTAGGCATGTCTAGCCAACCACACCACACGCGTCATCACCTTCAATAGCTGCGCCATCACGTAATGGCTGCGTTCAAAAACCATTGCGCGCCTACTGAACGTGATGTTCCTTAACATTAGTAAAGGTATCCAATAGATACTAAAGTGACCCACGCTTTTCTTTATAGTTATTTAAATAGTAGTCTATAATTTATTTTCTACTTTTTAGTGCATCATTACATAAAAGCTTGTTATTAAAACGTTTTTTATGAATTTTTTACATGGTATTTGCAATATCTGTTAACTAAAGTAAAATCTATTTTGCCGCATTTATTCTGTTGAAACGTGGGAATACGTAATAAACACGCTTTGATATTTAAAATTATAAAAACTATTAGAGTACTAACTTAAAATATGTGACGTCACATCCAACAAGGCCGTGGCTGCTGTGTCCAATTCTTGTGATAGCTCGATGTAGCTGACAGATGATTGGTCAGTTTTTTCTTCTAGCCACGCCTTACTTTTTGCAACAACCTGGTGAAGGTAAAAAACGTGAATATTTTCAACTGGCCACGTGTTGTTGTGCTGTAGTTCGAAACTGGTTATTTTGTGTGCTGTAGTTCGAAACTGGTTATTTTGTGCTGTATTTTGAAATTGGTTATATTGTGCTGTATTTCTAAACATATCTTGTGATGTATTTCTAAACATGTGTTGTCATGCTGTATTTCTTAACATATTTTGCTGTACTGTAGTTATAAACATATGTTGTTATGCTGTATTTCTAAACATATCTTGTCGTGATATATTTCTAAACATGTATTGTCGTGCTGTATTTACAAACAGTCTTCCTTGTGTTGTAATTCTTTGCAAATGCACTTCGAAAAACGCTTATCGTCACATGTCTACATTATCCTGTTCAAAATGCATTTACGCTTTTAAGTGTTACGATAATTTCTTAGTTGATATAAACTTACATTTTTCATATTTCCTATAACAGGTTCCAGAACGTGTATCTGTTCTTCCAAATATTTCACGTGTTCTGTTACAAGCTTGACCTGAATTCCTGAGGGCATCTAAGTAACAAACGTTTAATATTTCATACATTTTAAACTATGTAACAGTCATACAATTTAAATAATGATTTTTCATTTAAATCCAGCCTAAAAAGTGTTATAAATCAGTTGTTTGTGTCTATATTATCAATGGCTAAGAATAATAGCATCTGGTTAATTTACTTGAATTGCAACTATGTCTATGCCCATAAAGTTAAGTATATGAATACGTAATAGAGTTTGTTTCGAATTCGTTTTGTTTGTGAAATTTGCATCAGCTAAAAATACTGTTCTATAACACCGATATGTGAGCTCTACTACAATATAATTTCCCGTTTTGCTAAAAATATACAGCTTGGTTTTCTCGAATTTCGGTTTCGATTGCTATCCTACAATTAAGTGACAAAATTTAACTGTGAATAGCGTAAAAACTCTATGGCAAAGTACTTTTGTACAAAAACGACTTGCGTATTTGTCAAATAAACGATTATAAAATTGAGGTTAATACATTTTTTTAAAATTTAGAGTACATTTTACACAAATGGGTTACTATAGGCATACATAAATATTCATAGTAGATTTTATGTTATTTAAATATAGTAACTTTATCCATCCGTTTTAAAACAAAATAGTTTGTTTGAAGTGTACTTCTTATTCCATGTAAAACTATGTAGATTAGCTTTACCTTAAAATGATAATTTTGACGAATCAAAGTAGGACTAAGTATCATGAGCAAAAACTCTTCCTTTTTCAAATAATATCGGGTGTTTGAAAGTTATCTCCCTTTTGTAAATGAATAAGCTACTTGTAGATCAGCCACAACAGAAAATCTATTTTATTGAAACAACATTATATCGATAGGTAAGGGAACAATTGTAGATAGATTTCACATTATTTTAATTATTTAAATATTTAGTCGATGTGACTAACGTAGATGAAGGTAACATGCGAACAAAAAACCGCGATATGTCGATTCGGGAAAATGCAACATTGAGTTTAAAGCTAAAAACTTCGTTTACGTGACATTTTTGTCTCACAGTTATAATATTTCACACTCTCCAGTGTTTTATTTCTGATATGTTATCTGGCGACTTGTAGAGAAGATATGGTTGTCTCTATCTGCTTAAGGCGACTCAATATTTCTGTAGCATGATAAAACAAAGTGACAATATTATCTACAAGATAAATGGCCAA